CTGCTGGCAGGAGGTGCCCCTGTCCCCTTCTCCATGGCCCTTGTCTCGATACCCCAATGTCACCCTGTCTCCTGTACCCCCCCAATCTCCTATATCCCCTATGCCGTCCTGCAGGGCGGCTGGAGCTGGTGGGGGGTGGCTGGAGCATGGCAGACGAGGCGATCACTCACTATAGCGCGGGGCTGGAGCAGCTGGGGCTGGGCCGGGGCTTCCTGCGCAGGGAGCTGGGGCCCTGCGCCCTGCCCCGCCTGGCCTGGCAGATCGACCCCTTTGGCCACTCGCGGCAGAGCGCAGCCACCTTCGCGCAGGTAGGACCCCCCCCCGAGACCTCCTGATCCCCCTGTGGGGTACCCAGCTCTGAGCACCTCTTTTCTACCCGCGCTCCCCCCCGCAGATGGGCTATGATGGGCTGTTCCTGGGCCGCGTGGATCACCAGGACAAGGCGTGGCGGGAGCAACGCCGAGAGCTGGAGCTGCTCTGGAGGACGAGTGGGAGTCTCCAGAGCCCTGCCTCCGACCTCTTCACCGGTGGGATCCCCCCTCCCCCAGGCTGCAGGACCCTCCCCTCTATGTCTGCATCTCAGCTCTCCCATCCCTGTCTCCATCCCAGCTCTCCCATCCCTATGTCCCCATCCCAGCTCTCCTGTCCCTATATCCCCATCCCAGGGCTGCTCCTACCCCTGTACCCACCCCAGCCACCCCATCCCATGCTGACGAAGGGGGGGACCATCCCCAGGCATCCTCCCCAACGTCTACAACCCCCCCACTGGCTTCTGCTGGGACCAGCTCTGCTCCGACCCCCCCATGGTGGATGGGGACAGCGAGGAGAACAACGTGGCCTCCATCGTCTCCACCTTCCTGGACATCGCCACCAAGCAGGTGGGTATCCAAGCACTGGTTACATCTGAGGGGGTATCCCATGGGACTGCGGGGGTTCCTGACCTATCCTTGTGTCCATTCCCCCCCAAGGCCGAGCATTATCGCACCAACCACATCATCATGACAATGGGCTCCGATTTCCACTATGAGAATGCCAACCTCTGGTTCAAGAACATGGACAAGCTCATTGCCCACGTTAATGCTCAGGTGCGGGGGCCCCCTGCCATGTCCCTCCTGTTTGCTGTCGTCCCCCCCCACCCCCATCTCATCCCATCCATGGCTTTTCCAGCAAGCCAATGGCAGCCGTGTCCACGTCCTCTATTCTACCCCATCCTGCTACCTGTGGGAGCTGCACCAGGCCAACCTCTCCTGGTGAGGCTCAGAGGATGAAGGGGGACCCTGGGCTTGGGGTGGGATGGAAGGATACGTGGATACAGCCTGGATTTCCCTTCAGGTCCCTGAAGATGGATGATTTCTTCCCTTACTCGGATGGGCCCCACCAGTTCTGGACAGGTTATTTCACCAGCCGCCCAGCCCTGAAGCGCTATGAGCGCCTCAGCAACAACTTCCTGCAGGTGGGAATGTCCCTGGCCCCATCACAAGCATGGAATGGGGTGGATTGGAAGGGACCTTAAAGCTCATCCAGCTCCTACATCCATGGGCAAGGACACTTTCCACTAGAGGAGGTTGCTCCAAGGCCTGTCCAACCTGGATGGTTCATCCCAACCCTCTCTCTTCAACCCGTCTCAGTGTCCCACCACCCTTAAAGGGAAGAGCTTCCTTATATCCCATCTAACTCTTTCCACTTGGAAGCTGTTCTTCCTCATCCCATCCCTTTTCCAAAGCTGCTCTCTTACAGCCCCTTTATGCACTGGGAGCTGCTCTAAGCCCTCCCTGGAGCCTTCCCATCTCCAGGCTCTCATTCCCAGCTCTCCCACCATGTGCTCCCAAGGGCTGGGCACTCCATCTCAACCCCTCCATCCATCCCACAGATCTGCAGCCAACTGGAGGCACTGGCAGGACCAGCAGCACGGGATGGTCCCTATGGGCCTGGGGACAGCTCTGTGCTCCGTAAGTGCTGGGGTAGGACCCGTGGGACCCCCCCTGCACCCCCTTAATGTCTCCTTTGTCCCCTGGTAGGTGAAGCTGTGGCCGTGGCCCAGCACCACGATGCTGTGACCGGCACTGAGAAGCAGCACGTGGCCAATGACTACGCCAAGCAGTTGGCAATGGGGTGGGAGAGGTGCCAGGTAGGGCCCCACTGCTGAGGTTGGGGTGCAGATGGAGTCTGGGGGAGCACAGATGGGGTTTGGGGTTACATCATCATGTTCATGGAGTGTGGAGGTGGGGGACAGGAGCTAGTGCTTGAGCCCCTGCCCCTGGCTGGTGCTTTGGGGACCCACTGGGTGAGCCATGGGGGTACCCTCATGTGTCCCCCCTTCTGCCAGCTCCTGGTCTCCAATGCCCTGTCCAGCCTCAGTGGCACCAAGGAGACCTTCACTTTCTGCAACAGCCTCAACGTCAGCATCTGCCCCTTGACGGAGGCCTCCAGCCGGGTGAGTGGAGACCCGGGGGGACCTGGGAGGGTTTGGAGGGGACCAGGCAGGGCTCATGGCCCTTGTCCCTGTGTCCCCAGTTCCTTGTCCTCCTCTACAACCCGCTGGGGCGCCGCGTGTCCTGGCCCATCCGCCTGCCAGTCCATGGAGTGTCCTACACGGTCACAGACCCCCGTGGCCAGCCCGTGCCAAGTGAGGTGAGCCCGGACCCCATGTGTCCCCCCACCTTGTCCCCGTGTCCCCAGCTCACCCTGTGCCCTGTTCCCAGATTGTCCCTGTGTCCATTGTCACCCATGGGCTGCGTGGGAATGATGTTGGGGCCATGCAGGAGCTGCTGTTTCAAGCCTCGGCACCCGCTCTGGGCTTCAGTACCTTCACAGTGACACGGTCACCCCATGGGGACCCCCATGTTCCCCCCATCCAGCCACCAGTGCTGCCACAGCCGTGGGACATCCACAACGAGGCATGGGCCCGGCCTGGGGTTTGGTGGAGCCCCATTTCCCTTGTCCCAGTTAAACCAGTGCTGCAGTAACTGGGGGAGCTGGGGCAGACACTGAAGCTGCTGCCATCCCAACCCTGCAGTATCTCCGGGTGCTGTTTGACCCCCTCACTGGGCACCTGAAGGAGATCCAGAACCTGGCCAAGAACATCTCGCTGCCCGTCTTCCAGAGCTTCTACTGGTGAGCACTGGTGGAGTCCCTCTCATGGGACCTTCCTCCACCACCTCTCACCATCCCTCTCCTCCCAGGTACAATGCCAGTGTTGGCAATGACGAGAGTTCCCAGGTTTCCGGAGCCTACATCTTCCGTCCCAACAGCTCCGAGCCCATCCCCATCTCTGGCTCTAAGCGGATCTCCACATCCCTCGTGAAGGTGGATGGCCCCAGGGGTGCCCTCAGCTCTGGGGTGCCCCTGAGGGTGCTGACCCCCCACTGTGGCCCTTGCAGAACACGCTCGTGCAGGAGCTTCACCAGAACTTCTCCTCGTGGTGCTCCCAAGTGGTGCGGCTCCACATGGGGCAGCCCTACGTGGAACTGGAGTGGACTGTGGGACCCATCCCCGTGGAGTGAGTGAGGAACCTGGGGGGGCTCCTGAGGAGGTGGGACCCCCCCCAAACCCCGCTGCTCCCCCCCTACCTCTCCCAGGGATGGTTGGGGCAAGGAGATCATCAGCCGCTTCCAGACGCCCCTGCAGACACAAGCCCGGTTCTACACTGACTCCAATGGGCGGCAGATCCTGGAGCGCAGGTTGGAGCCAGCTCATTGTGATCCCCCCGTGTCCCCCCTGATCAAATAACCAAGCTGTGCCTCACGCCCAGGCGTGACCATCGTCCCACATGGAACCTGAGCCAGACAGAGCCTGTGGCAGGGAATTACTACCCTGTCACCAGCCGCATCTTCATCAAGGTACCAGCGTTGGGGTGGCAGCAGGGGCTGAGCCCGGGGCAGAGGTTATCACACATGTGGCTCTTCCCTCCCTCCCCATAGGACAAGAAGGTCCAGCTGACAGTGCTCACAGATCGCTCCCAGGGTGGCAGCAGCATCTCCGATGGCTCCTTGGAGCTGATGGTGATGGACCAGGGTGCGGTGTGGGACGTGTCCTTGGGGGTACCGGGGGTGCCATAACCCCCCCCTCCATCCCCATCCAGGTCCATCGGCGGCTCCTGTACGATGACAACCGCGGGGTGGGGGGAGCCGCTGCTGGAGCAGGGACACGGACCACCGGGGTCTGGTGGTCCGCGGTCGCCACCTCCTGCTGCTGGACACGGTGCAAGCAGCGGCTGATGGGCACCGCCTGCGGGCGCAGGAGCTCTTCATGGCCCCATACCCGGTGCTGGCGCCCGGGGGAGGCCCATCCTACTGGCCAAAGCAGCGAGGCCTGTGGGAGGTGAGGGCAGGGGGGCAGGGGGGGGTACACAGGGAGGATGCACATTCACATCCCTCACTGTCCCCATCGCAGTTCTCAGCGCTGCGCCGGGAGCTGCCTCCCAGCATCCACCTCCTGACATTGGCCCCTGGGGACGCCGGGACCCTCCTGCTGCGGCTGGAGCATCAATTTGAGAGCGGGGAGAGCAGGAACAGCTCCCACCCGGTCACCATCGACCTGCTGGTGAGCCACGACCCTCCCCGCCCTTCCCCAAGGCTTCCAGAGGTGACCCTACTCCTGCTCCTGGCGTGATTCCCAACATCCTTTCCCGCTTTCCCAGGACCTGTTCTCAGCATTCACCATCACCTCAGTGCAGGAGATGAGCCTAGGGGGGGACCAGCCCCTCGATGCCATCTCCCGCCTGGTCTGGACCCCGGCCACAGGTACTGCAGGAGGTCTAAGGGGGGCATGGGGGGGGGCTGCAGCTTCCCCTCACCCCTTCCCACTTCCCCATAGGTCCAGCCCAGTCCCACACAGTGGCCAAACTGGACCCACGGCGGGTGACACTGCAGCCTATGGACATCAGAACATTCCTGGTGCACTATGAGGGGCCTGGGGCAACTCCAGGGGGGCACTGAGCATCCCAGAGTGGGGTGGGTGTCTCTGTCCTGTGTCCCCCCACAAGTGCATTAAAAACCACACCATTTCCTCAGGCGTTTAATGGGGGCACGAGGCAGTGCCGGGTCTGGGGGGTGCAAGAGGGGGCTCCCCCTCCTGCAAGCAGCAGCCCTGATGGAGGGAAGGAGGGTGAGGGGTGGCAGTGCCCCCCTTGGCTTCCCCCCTTCTTCTCAGACCCCCTTTATTCTGCCCTCTCTGTTCCCAGACCCTCCCTTGTCCCCTGTCCTTACTTGTTCTCTGTCCCGCCTTGAACCCCTCTTCTTCCCAGACCCCCTTTATTCTGCCCCCACTTTGTTCTCAGACCCCAACTTGCCCCCTGCCCCCCACACCTCCTTGTGCCGTTTGCAGGGGGAGGGTTTCAGGTCGGCTCCTTGCAGTCGCTGCCGCCGTTTGTTCTGGAGCTGCTTCCTCTTCTCCTGCAAGGATGGGGAGATGCTGCCCCTGGGGGGGAGCATGAGCCAGGGAGCTGCAGAACCCCCCCAAGGCAGAGCACTGGACCCTTCCCTCCTCCCCGCTTCCTTTAGGGCATCTTTATTCTCCCCCCTGATGGGGGCAGGGGGGGAACATTTTGGCCTTGGCTTGGTTCAGAAGAAGCCCAACCCTCATATGAGACCCCCAAGAAGCTCCTTACCCGGCCTTGGCCCTGGCTTTAGGTCCCCAGAAGGCTTCCGGGTTTTCTGGGAATCGCTTCAAGCCCCTTCTCCTGGAGCTGGGATTGGCGTCGGCGCGGATAGCAAAGGAAGCCTGGAGCCTGGGTGGGGAAGAGGGGCTCAGGGCTGGGCTGGGGGTGCTCAGGAACAGTTTTGGGGTGCTTGGGGCTGGTTTTGGGGTCTCAGGGCCAGCTCTGGGGCTCCCTGGGCCTGTTTTGAGATGTTCCTCCCCTCCCCATGGTCCCTACGTGGGCTCCACAGCAAGGATCCGGGCTGCGGGACTGGTGTCTGTGAGTCGCTCGCGTTTAACCGGGTGCAGCCGCACCTGAGGAAGAGGAGGATGATGATGGGGGGGGGGGGGGGGGGCGGACCTCCAACCCTGCCCCATATTGGGGTGTCCTGGGGGGGGGTCCCCAAGGTGCCCCCCCCTCACCCAGCAGCGCAGGATGTCCCAGAGCACAGCCGGGGGTGCATCCGTCTTCACTGCGGTCCTGCAGGCATGAGACAGGGACACGCGGTACCCGGCGTGCAGCAGTGCTGAGCTGGGGGGTGCACACGGGGTGGGGGGAGTCACAGATGGGGTTTGGGATAGGGGAGTGAATTTGGAGGGGGAGGATGGGGCTTGGGGGTCAGGGATGGGAATGGGGGTGCAGGATTGGATTTGGGGCACAGGATGAGATTTGGGGTGTAGGGATGGGGTTGGAGGGACAAGATAGGGTTTGGGGTGCAGGGATGGGCTAGGGAGGTGTTTTTGTGGTGCCCCCACCTGAACTGCAGCAGTGATGGGGTGTTGCAGTGGATGGTGCTGCTGAGCCCCTCCAGGGTGTAGTACAGGGGCACATCGCTGAGTTCCTGCCCATGGGGAGCAGCCGAGTCAGCCCCAGCGCTGGGAGGGGGGACAGGACTTGGAACCCCCAAATCCCCTCCCGCCAAGTACCTCGGCAATGCCGCTGAGCACCCCCTGCATCCGCTCCTGCGTCTGGAAGCGGTGGGGGCTCCGCTCCAGCGCCGCCAGCACCCGCTGCACGAAGGGCACATCGTGGAGCGGCTCAGCCCATATGGGACCACCCAGCTGGGGGGGGACAGGGGTACACGAGGGATCAGTGATGGGGTATGGGGGAGCACCACAGGGACAGTGAGGGGCCACGGGGGGACACATGCACCCACACTGAGGGGCTGGGGGGGACACATGCGCCCACCTGGTGCCTCTGTTGGCAGAACTCACATGTGGGCCCCACGGGCGGTCCTGTGGCTGCCCCATACTTGAAGCTGGAAGGGAAGAGCTGAGGTGTGAGGGGTCCCCCTTATCCCAGGCTCCCCCCTCATCCCAGGCACACACTGCCCCCCCCCATACCTGTTGCCATGGGCTGTAGCTTTGCCCATGCGCTGGAGGTGGTGGGTGCCACAGCCGACGCAGTGGTACACCAGAGCCTGCTTGCTGCAGGGGACAAAGCAAGGGGAAGGGGGGTCACAGGGTGCATCCCCCTCACTGTGGTCCCCGCTGCGTCTACCCCCTCACCTCGCCGAGGCTTTCACCTTCGCCTGCCCTGTAAAGACCCGCACGAAGACGCGGATGTAGAAGTCAGCACTGACGGCGAGCAGCGGCACAATGAAGCGCTGGTAGCAGTTGGCTCTACTGTCCAGGCTGTGCAGGATGATGCGCAGGGCCTGGCCATGGCGGGGACACGGAGGACATGGGGACAGCCCTGACCTCCCCCCATTGTCCCCACACTCAACAGGGAGCCCCCACTCACCATCTCGTGGCAGAACTTGCCCTTGAGGGACACGGCGCCGTACTTGCTGTAGGAGGTCTCAGCGTTGTTCCCTGCCAGCACCCCCATGTCCGTGCAAGTCACACACAGTAGCCCTGCGCAAGAGGGGGAAAGGGTTCAGGGGTGCTGCCAGGAGCACCCTAATGGGGGGGGGGGGGGCAACTCACCTCCTTCGCTCACAGCTTGCACAGCAGCGTCGAGGAAGTGTGCGGGGCTGCCGTAGGGATCCAGGTCGATCACGTCGAAGGGCTCCCTGTCAGCTTTGCACTGGTACATCAGCATCCTGGGGGGGGAGGGAAAGGAGTGTCCTGGAATCTGCACTGGCCCCCCCTTTTGTCAAACCTCACTATGGGACACAATGGCCCCTTTGAGGATGCTCCAATACGGGGGGGGGGGGGGGGAGAAACCCGGTGGGGTGGTTCCTGAGGGTGCTTGGGGGGGGTTACCTGGCATCAGCCATACTGGGGGTCACCAGGGTCCCCACCCCATTGAAGGCCACGTTGCGCTCAATGAGCTCCATGGCCCGCGCTGAGCAGTCGTTGGCCACCACAGCCCGAAGCCCCGGCACCTCCTTGGCGAAGCGGATGGAGCGGAGCCCCGAGGCCGCCAGCGCCTCCAGCACCCGCAGCCCCCCCTGCAGACACACAGCACTGCCCATGGGGTGCCATGGGGGGGACACCCCAATACAGGGAAAAGGGGAATCCCCCCCTGTGCCCAGCACCTCACACATTTCTCCTGCCTTTGCCACCTGCAGGAGGTCGGCACTGGCACCATCACCCTCCTCCAGTGGTTGGGGGCTTCCTGCATCCGTGTTCTCTTCCCCAGGTACAACAACTGGAAAAGGAGGGATTGAGGTGACGGATTCTCTTCCCCCACACCGGGAAAAGGGGGGGCCTGGGGATGGGGAGCCCAAGGTGGTACCTACCCAAGCGGCACCTATCGCAGTGGTACCTACCCTGGATCCCCTTTGGCTGCAGGAGGAGCCGAGCGAATTCCGTTAGCACAGCGCAGCTGAAGGGGAAGTGATGTCAGGAGGGGGGAGGGGGCAGAGTAGGGATCACCCCAAGACCCCCATGGGGTACCCCCAAGACATCCCAAGACCCCCCCCCCCGACCCTCCTGAGATACCCCAGAGCTTCCCCTGGCCCCGCTCACGTCAGGTCCCTGTTGAAGCCCTGCACTGGGTTGTAGAAGACCTCGTTGGCGCTGGGGAAGAGGATGGTGGCTTGGCCCTCAGAGATCAGCGTCTCGCCTGCCCGGGGGGAGCCCTCAGGGGCCGGAGGGGACCCGGAGCCGTTGGGGGAGGCCCCGTCCATGGCAAACCGGCGACGGAGGGGGCCCGGGATGCCTCGTTGAAGGGTCCTGAAGGCGGCTGCTGCTGGTGGGGGGAGTTAACGCAGGACGGGAGGGGACACGGACATGGAGCCCCCAAAGGGGCCACAGAATGGGACCGAGGGGTGACTCCCTCGGCAACCACGTGGCGCGGGACAAGGCCTCGGGTACTGGAACCCGAGCCCCCCAGGCCACGCCCCCTTCAGACCACGCCCCTTCAAGGCCCGCCCCCCCCCCTCCCACCACCACCCCCCTCGTTGCTCCCCCTCTCCCGGTTCTCACCAGCCCCGCGCATTCTCGGCGCCGTAGCCCCCCTTCACATGGGCGCTGCCATGTTGCGGCGGTCACGTGACCGTAGGCGGACGGCACCGCGGAAGGGTCATAAGACCTTGGCCTCCCCTGGGAGGTGGTGAGGAACCTAGAAGGAAGACCCCGGCATGTTTCTGCGGGAATTCGGCCCGGGAGGCCCCGGTTGATCCCGCGGAGGGGGTCGGGGTAAGCAGCTCTGCCTATTCCCGCTGCCAGCCGTGTTCCTAGTGGAGAAGGGTGGGAGAGGGGAGGAAGGGGCGTGGGTATTCGGCGCTCGGCTGGTCGTGCCTGCGCACGCGCGGGAGCCGCGCCGGGCGGTGCGGCGCTCGGCTGATCGCGCCTGCCGCACAATGAATGGCCGCTGAGCGCGGCGGGGACCCGGACGGGCACCGGGAGCGGCACCGGGAGCGGCCGGAGCCGAGGCTGAGCCCCCCCCGCCCTCCGGTAAGGCGGGAACCTCCCCTCCCCTGGCCGCGCATCCGCCGCTCCTCCGCTCCCGTTCCCCGGAACCTGTGGCTCCCCACCCCCTTCCCCGCAACCGGTCGCCATCCCCCCCCCCCCCCCCCCCCAGGCCTCGGGGTACCTTCTGCCTCCAGCCCCATCTTTTGGTGCTTCCCCGTTCCCCCTCCAATAACCCCCGTTGTGGGTGCCCCCCCCCTCCCCCAAGGCTGGGGGTCTTCTCTGTCTCCAATGTAGGGAGCGGGGTGTGTCCCTCCCCGTTCTGCCCGGGTTTGGGGTCTCCCGGTGCCCCCCCCCAAGTGTGGGGCCCGTTCACGTGTGAGGATCCCATCACGCCCCTGCCTAAAGGGCGGTTGTGCCCGTGCCACCCCCCCCAGACACCTCCAAGTGCTGGCGACCCCCTTGGCCTGAGCACCCCCATGTCCTCAGGCTTAGAGAGCCCTGAGAGTCCCCATGGCCAAGGTGGGTTCGCCTCACCCAGCTCCTGGGGTGCCCCCACCCCTTAACCCCCTGTTTTGGGTGATCTCCAGCACCCCTCCCCCTCCGGGTTGTTCCTGGGGTCCTGGGGGAGGATCCGGGCTTACCTCCCATGGGCTGACTCGTGCCTGGTCTGTGTCTTGTCCCTTCTCTGTCCCCATCCCCTTGTGCCCTGCCCCCCTCATGTGTCTGCCCTTCTCCATGTGTCCATTTGTCTGTCCCCTACTCTGCTTCCTGGGTCCCTGTTCCCACATGTCCCCCATCTCTGGCCCTCTTCCCTCTGTGTCTGTGTTCCTGTGTGTCTCCCATGTGTCCCTGTCCCTATGTGTCCCCCATATCTGCTTTGCTTCTTATGTACCTATGTCCCTACATGTCCCCTGTCTGTCTCCCTCCCTTCTGTACTCGTGTCTCCCGTGTCTGCCCCGTGTCCCTGTCCCTGTGTGCCCCCACATCTGCCTTGCTCTTTATGTATTCGTGTCCCTGCATGTCCTCTGTGTCTGCCCTCATTCTCTCGGTCCCTGTGTCTATGTCCCTACATATCTTTGTCCCTCTGTGTCCCCCATGTCTGCCTCGCTCCTTATGCATCCGTGTCCCTACACATCCCCTTGTGCCTGCCCATGACCCCGTCCCCGCAGGCTCCCGTTGGCTCCCGCCATGGCTCAGACACTGCAGATGGAGATCCCCAATTTTGGGAACAGCATCCTGGAATGCCTGAATGAGCAGCGGCTGCAGGGGCTGTACTGTGACGTGTCAGTGGTGGTGAAGGGCCATGCATTCAAGGCTCACCGTGCTGTGCTGGCCGCCAGCAGCTCCTACTTTCGGGACCTTTTCAATAGCAGCAAGAGTGCGGTGGTGGAGCTGCCGGCCGCCGTGCAGCCCCAGTCCTTCCAGCAGATCCTCAGCTTCTGCTACACGGGCCGGCTTAGCATGAACATGGGGGACCAGTTCCTCTTGATGTACACTGCCGGCTTCCTGCAGATCCAGGAGATCATGGAGAAGGGGACTGAGTTCTTCCTCAAGGTCAGCTCGCCCAGCTGCGACTCGCAGGGGCTGCACGGCGAGGAGGCTCCTTCCTCTGAGCCCCAGAGCCCCGTGGCTCAGACCTCGGGCTGGCCCTCGGGCACTGCTGCGTTGCCACTGGTGTCGCGGGTGAAGACGGAGCAGGGGGAGCCCGACGGGGTGCAGTGCACCTTTGTGGTCAAGCGCCTTTGGGATGGCGGCTCAAAGGATGGCACCGCCGGCGGCAACGGCAGCCGGAAGATGGCCAAGTTCTCCGCGCCAGAGCTGGGGCGGCAGCCGCAACCTGCAACCCCCACAGCAGGACCGGCACCGGCCCTGGTGGCACCGGCCCCGGTGGCTCCTGGGCCAAGCGCTGCTGATCAGACCAGCCCCGGGGGCACATCCAGCGCCTACACGAGCGACAGCCCTGGCTCCTTCCACAACGAGGAGGATGAGGAGGAGGACGGGGGGGAAGAAGGCTCGGACGAGCAGTACCGCCAGATCTGCAACATGTACACCATGTACAGCATGATGAATGTGGGGCTGGCAGGTGAGGCTCCGCCCACCAGGGGGCGACGCCCATTGGCTGCGGCCTGGCGAGTCTCCGCCCATATGGTGGGAGAAAGGGGGCGTGGCCTGGCCTGGTGAGGCTGCATCCGTTGGGACTGTAAGAGGTCGTGGTCACGTTAGCCCCTCTATTGTGGGTGTGGTCTAGTAGGGCTCCGCCCACAAGGCACACCCAGCCAATGGGGCGTGGTTTCGGGGGCAAGTGGGTGGGGTTACCCCCAGGGTCACGACCCTGTGGGCATGTCTTGTCGCTAAGGGTGACGAGAGGGGCACACGAGGTGTCACGACTGCTTCCACAGAGGGTGTGGGAGGGGGGTGGGTGCCTCTGGGTTTTGGACCCCACTGACCCTATCCTTGTATCCCTCCCGCAGCCGCAGAGAAGGTGGAGGCGCTGCCAGACCAGGGCACATCTGAGCCGCGCACCCGTGTGCGCGTGCGGCAGGACTTGGCCTCGCTGCCGGCCGAGCTCATCAACCAGATCGGGAACCGCTGTCACCCCAAACTCTACGACGAGGGGGACCCTGCCGAGAAGCTGGAACTGGTCACAGGTACACCCAGAGGGCCCCATGGGGAGTGGAGAGTACAGGGGTCCCTACTGGGGGCCTGGCCCTGCTCACCCCATGTGTGTGTGTCCCCTAAAGGCACCAACGTGTACATTACACGGGCACAGTTGATGAACTGCCACGTCAGCGCGGGGACACGGCACAAAGTCCTTCTGCGGCGGCTCCTGGCGTCGTTCTTTGACCGGTAAGTTGGGTCCCAGCACACAGTTTTGGGGTCTCTATGGGGTTTGAGGGGGGTGGGTGCTCAGGTTCTGACCCTGGTTTTCATCCCTTCCTTACCAGTAACACCTTGGCCAACAGCTGTGGCACCGGCATCCGCTCGTCCACCAATGATCCCCGGCGGAAGCCGCTGGACAGCCGGGTCCTGCATGCTGTCAAGTGTGAGTGGGGGGACAGGGGATACCCCAAGAGACCAGGACTAGGCGGAGCCCCAGAGAGAGATGATCAGAGGACTCAAACAATGAAGAGGGGGAGCTCAGGGTTGGGGAACCTACAGGAACGGGGTGGGGATCAGAGGGTGGAGGAGACCCTAGGGAGAGGGGACACAAGGGTAATAGGCAACTGGGGACCCTAGGCCTGGGGGGATCCCACAGATGGACCCCAGGAGCTGCCAGTCACCCCCGTTGTGTGTGTTCCCCCCCAGTTTACTGCCAGAACTTTGCGCCCAACTTCAAGGAGAGTGAGATGAACGCCATTGCCGCTGACATGTGCACCAACGCGCGGCGCGTGGTGCGCAAGAGCTGGATCCCCAAGCTCAAGCTCCTGAGCGCCGAAGGTGATTCCTACACATCCTTCATCAACGAGGCCGGGAAGCTGGAGCCTGACATCATGGGCCCCGAGCCTGGCTTCGATGCTGGTGCCCATGAGGGTGAAGCGGGAGCCCCCAGCGAGGGGCTGCAGTGACCCCCTTCCAACCCTCTGGGGACACCCCACTGCAGTGGGGAGCCCCCTCCTGCCAGGTGGGGACCCCAGCATAAGGTAGGGATCTCCCTGCCAGGTACAGACCCTGTCACTAGGTAGGGAACCCTCTACTGGGTTGGGACCCCATAACCAGGTAGGGGACCCCATCAGTAGGTAAGGAACCCCCCCCTCCAGCTAGGAGCCCTGTCCTAGCTAGGGCACCCCCCACCAGGTAGGGCCCCCATAAGCAGGTCAGGACCCCATCAATAGATAGGGGAGCCCCCTCTGTAGGTGGGGACCCTTGGCCAGGTAGAGGCCCCCCCTGCCAAGTAAGGACCCCATCACCAGGTAGAGGACCCTCCCCTCCAGATAGGGTCCCCCTTGTAGTACTGCCCTGTGGTTATGTGGGAACCCCCACCCAGTGGGCACCCGCACTGGGGATGACCCCTTTCATGGTGGAGGTATCCATGTGGTTGCAGGGCCCCCTCCTCCCAGGGGGTGTGTGTCATCCCCCCTAGGGGCAGGGACCCCCCATCCCACCCCATGGTGCTGCTGAGGGGTGTGATCGTCCCGTCTCCTTCCCCCCCCCCCCCCCCCGGAGGGCTTGGGGCTTTTCGGGGGCGGGGTGGCAGCAGCTAAGGCCATTGCCTTCCCCCGCCCAGCAGTTTTGGGGGGTTTGGGAGGGCTGGGGCTTTTATCCTGCTCAGGCATCAGATTTAAGGTCCCATGTCCCTCTCCAGGTGCCCCATGTAGCCTCTGGGGTCCCTCCCCTGTCTACCCCCCCCAGGGCTGACATTTCTCCATATGTCCCTTCCATGGGGCCACCGTCTCTGCAGGCAACCGCATGTGTCCCCCCATGTCCCCTCCCCCAGTTGGGGACCAGTATCTCTCTGGGCATCCCCCATCCCCCCCCCCCCGCAATGTCCTCCCAGCATGTGTCCCCCATGTCCCTGTGTGTGTCCCCCCCTCCATGGGGCCAGAGTCTCCAGGTGACCACGTGTGTCCCCCACTTGTATGTCTGTCCCCTGGGGGAGGGCATCTCTGGGTGTCTGTGTTTTGTGTCCCCCCTTCCCTTGTCCCCAGCTCCTCCCACCCTGTCAGAAAGGGGGGTGTCCCCTGTCATCCTGCCCCAGCTGGACAGGGCAGGGCTGAGCCTGTGTGTGGGGACCCCCCAGTGGGGATGGGATCCCCACAACCTGCCCTGAGGAGCAGTTCCCCCTTCATTACTCTGTACTGGGGGGGTGACACCCCCATGTAACCCCTGGGGGGGGTGATTTTGGGGAGGGGTACAGGTTGGAATCCCACCTCTGTTAAGGGGGGACACACAGGAGACCCCCCACCCCCCTGCAAGGCTTTGCACCGGCTCTGAATGGGGAAACTGAGGCACAGTTTGGTAGCCCCCCCCCCTTGTGTAGATGTGGGGCTGAGGGGTAACCCAGGCATCCTGTGGGCCCCTACCCAACCCCAGCGCCCCCCCAACAGGTCTCCTGACGTTCGGTCAAGTGCCTTACCCGCTGCCTGGCCCCCCTGGGCCCTGCTCACAGCTCCATTACCGCACCGCTCTGTGCCAAACCCCCCCAGCACCGGGGCGGGGAGGGGGGGGGACATACACAGGGACACCCTCCTCGGCCCTCCTCCGCCTTCCCCTCCCCCAATGCCTGGGTTGTTCCTCCCACACACACCCCTCCCTTGCTGCGCCTCAGTTCTCCCCTTTCCATTGTGTGATGAGTTGCACCGGGTCGCAGCCCTGCAGGGGTGCCCCCCCTCCCTTTAACTAGGGGGGGTCCCTTCCTCACTGGAGGGGTCCCCTTTTCACTAATGTGAGGGGTCAGGCTTATCTTTCCTCCCCTCTTCTTTCCGTTTTCCAACCCAGAAGCTGTACAGAAACGGGGAGCATGGACCCCCCCCAGCCCGGGCTTGTGCTTCCCCCCTCCCCACCGACAACCCCCACCCCCCCGGTGGGGGGTCACCAGTGTCTGTCCTGTGTTATGAAGTGCCAAGAGGCCCCTTTACCCGCCGCCCCCCCCCCCCCCCCCCCCCCGGAGTCGCTGGAGAATTGCACATGAACTGCTGTAGGAGAGCGGCGAGGGGCCGCGGCGTGTTAATAGTGACAATAAAACACGAGAGGTTTGATAACACCCCCGGCACGTGCGCTGGTGGGGGGCAAGGGGGGGCGGTGCTGCAGGGGCGCGGCTACGCCCCCTTGCCACATTTGGTCAGGCGGAAGCAGACAGTACCAGGGCTCACACGTCCCCCCTGTCTTCCGTGAAGCTCCTCCCCTTTGCTGTCATCCCCTTATATAGTCATGGAAACTGCGCGCCGTGACGTCACGGGGAGGGGGGGTTCCCGTGTAACACCCGCTCTTACACACAGCCCACTCCACGCCCCCGGCCCCCCGGGCTGGCCCGGTAACCATGGGGCGGGATACAGGGACTCCCCCATGTGGGTACAGGGCCCCCCTCCATGGGGTCACACGGACCCCCCTCCGTGGGTCACAGGGACCCCCCCACTGGCACCGCGCCGTGTCGTTCCCACCCACCCACCCCCCCCCGGGGTATTTCCGCCGCTCCGGGGCTGGATGCGGAGCCGGGGCGGGCCCGGTGCTGGGGCGGGGGCAAGCGGCGTTACAAGAGCCCCGCGGCGAGGGCGGCCCCGGCGCACTCCGGTCCCGGCGGCGCCATGGAGGAGGCGCAGCGGCTGCTGACCGTGTCCGTGTGGAAGCTCTACCGGTGCCGGCTGCAGCGCGGCGGCCTCCGCCTCCACCAGAGCCTCCAGCTCTCGCTGCTCGTCCGCGCTGCCCGGCACCGTTACCTGGCCGCCCGCGCAGCCGCCGAACAGGGATCCACCGCGGGGAACCACCTGGGGATGGCTCCCGGGGACCCGCACCGAGAAGACCCCCCGAGAAGACCGAGCCCGGCCCCCCGCAGCCCCCGAGACCGGGAGGACCCAGAGAGCCCGGACCCCCGGAGCACCCTGGACCGGGAGGATCCAGCGAGCCCGGACCCCCGGAGCAACCGGGACCGGGAGGACCCAGCGAGCCTGGACCCCAGCAGCACCCAGGACCTCTCCCAGGACCAGCACCGGGACCAGCCCCAGGCCTCCCCGAGCCGGTACCGCTCTCAGACGAGCTCTCCGAGGCCGCCACCGCCTCCCCGGGACCCTTCGAGCGCTCCCTGCTCCTCGCCGCCGCCTGAGCCCGGTTCCCCCGGAGCTCCTCCAGTCGCACGGGTCGGGCGCAAACGGCAGAGCAGCGGCTCAACCGGTGCCGGGCCGGTCCTGGCGCCGAGTAAACGGTCGCGGCTGGAGGCTGAGAAGCCTCCGCTCGCTCCGGGGCCGCCCGGTCGGTGCTCGGGACCGCCCGCCGCTGCTTTTGCCTTCCTGGTCCGGGCCGTCGGGGCGTGCTGAGCCCCCGCTGCGGACCCTCGGACTCTCGTGGCTCCCGGTGGGCTTCCCCTCTCGGTAACGCCTCCTCTTCCCATGGCCGTGCCGTGCTGGAGGGGATTCCAGGCTGGTCCTGATTCCCATCCCTCACATCCCCCCCCCCCCCCCCCCGAATTGTGTTTAGTTACTATTTTGTTAATTAAATAAAGTGGTTTCTGTGCAGCCGCCGCCTGGGAGGGTTCCCTGTGATACCCCACATGGGGGGGCAAAGGAGTGTCGGGGGGGGCAGGATACGGGGAGAATCCCCACTCCCCCTTTCCCTGTTCCGGGAAGTTCCACGTGCTGCCCATGTGGGGGAGGGGAGCGCGCCCGGATGTGCGGGGGAGGGAAGGGGGAGGTTGAGGCAGGCTATTCCCCCTTTTGCCCCCACCCCCCCCGCCGAATTCTGGTTCCGGTGCTTCCTGGTTGCTAAGGGAGGGGGGGTCAACACAGACCCAGGGCCCCCTCCCCCCCAACCCCTCCTGTGCAGCCCCCGGGGCCCGATCCCTGGAAGGAGCGAGAAGGGCTCGATCCAAAATTCCTCTTGTTTTAATGGTTCCGTGGGGGGGGGGGGGGGGGGGGGGGGATCGGGGGTCGGTTTTTGTCTCTTGTTTTTTCTCTTTATTTCTTGGATTCGGTAACTCGGTTCATGCAATTGGCGGCAGCTCCAGTCCCTCGGGCGGGGATGTGGAGGGGGCGGTGCCCGGTGCCCCGCCCGGAGCCTCCCCCAGGCTTCGGTTCCCGCTTCCCACCGCCCATTCCCGCTCCTCCCGGTGCGGGGTTTAGGGGGCGGGGGGGTCCCGGTTCCGCCCCCGGTGGTGGCGGCTCCTCCAGATGATAAAACTCATCCATAGCCCCGGGAGCGAGCGCCGGGTCTCGGGGGGGTGTTTGTGTGTGCCGTCTACACCCGCTCCCCGCCGCCCTATGTCGCGGCGCTCCGTCGCGATAGATCGTCGAGGCGCCGCTAGCAGCAGTCATCGTCCGTTTCGCTGTAGGGGTCGCGGAGACCGGGCCGCCCCTTCCCGGTGCCGTGCCCCGGGTAGTAGCCGTTGGGCAACCGCCGGCCGGGCCGGGGTGGGGACGGTCCCGGTCGTGTCCCCCCCGCTCCGCCGCGGCCGCCGGGCCGGGGGCCCCGTGGGACGCGTCCGTCGAGAGCCGGGTCGGGGTCGCGGGGGGGGTCGGTCCATCGCGGGGAGGCGGCGGCGGGCGGCGGCGGGCGGCGGGGCCCGCGGGCGGGGGGCGCGGCGGCGGGCGGGGGGCGGCGGGCGGCCGGGGAGAAGGAGACGTGGGGCCGCGGTGTGGCGGGGGTCGGAGGGAGCTGGCGGCGGGCGCGGCGGGGGGTGCTGGTCCCGGAGGTGGAGAGCACCGGGCTCCCGCTGACCGAACTACTGCCCTACAGCAACACCGAGACACCGGGGTGACCGCGGGGGACCGGGCAGGACAGCGGGGCACGGACACGAGGGACAGGGACGTGGGGACATGGCCATGGGAAAGGATATGGGAGGGTGACCACGAACATAGGGGATGGACGTGGGTGAAGATGAGGCGCACGGACGCAGGACATGAGAGCGTGGACCGGTCATGGACATGGTTGCAGGGACACGAATGACACGTACGGACATGGGGGACATGGACACACGGAGGAGGCATGGACATGGGGGGCAAGGACAAAGATGGATTGGACACAGGGGTTGAAGGGGACAACACGAGGAATGGGGGGGCACAGGCATGGGGGGCGGGGCATGGATGGGAAGAAATTGGGCCCAGGGATGTGGATACGGGAAGGACATAGGGAACATGGACATGAATAGCGGGGGAGCAGCCACGGGTTTAGGGGGCATGGACACAAGCAGAGACATGGGGGAGAGAGGTCACAGCCACCAGCCATGCAGACACGGGGGGGGGCAGACAGGGATAAGGGGGCAAAGCAGTGAGAACATTGAGGGAGAACATAAACGAGAGAGCAGAGGGGAAGAGAAGTGAGAAGAGGTGGGGAGGGCTATGAGGGGCAGAGGGGAGTGGGGAGAAGGGGAGGGATATGGGGGGGGCTGCCGGCTCCCGCCAAAGCCACTCGCAAAGCAGGAGGGGGGAAGATGTTGGGGCTCAGCCGGGAGACATGGGGAGGAGCAGGGGGCTGGAGGAGTTTGGAAGAGTCGGCCCCGGGGGGGAGGAGCCCTGCACCCCAAAGTGAGACCTGGGGGGAGCCGGGGGGGGGCACACACCATAAACCCCAACCCGTTACCTGCAGGGACTCGGGGTGTGGGGTCTGTGCCCCCCTCTGAGGCTAGGACCATCCACCCGGCTCCTGGAGGGTGGGGCCAGGACCCCCCAGTGCTGGGTGCAGGGTGTGATCACCCTGATTGAGGCCTTTGGGAGCTGCACACCCCTGCCTATCGAGGGGGGGGGGGGTCCGTGCCCCCCAATCCATGGTGAGGAGCCCAGTACTCATCCCATGGTGCAACCACTGTGTCCCCCCAAGTGCCATCACCCCAGCCCCAACCCAGGGCTGGAGGGGTCCCGTGCACACCCAAATGTCTGTACACCCCTGCCCCCCAGGCCTTGTGGGATGCCCCAAACCCATTGGGTGCAGATTGTGCACCCCAAAACAGAGGTGGGAGAGGGATCCCTGCACCCCAACCCTGGGGGCCACCCACCCCAATGTAGGGCTCTGGGAAGTCCCTACACCCCAACTCTGCACTGGGGGGAGCTCCATGGGCTTGCTATAAGGGGGTGCAGCAGAGCTGGAGATGGGGGGGGGTCACCCCAAACCAGTCCAGGGCAGCCAAGAGGGGGGGCATCTTCATTCCAAACTTTCCAGCGTTCCTGGAGAGGGGATTGATGGATCCGGGGGCGCCAGAGCAGACGTGGGGGGGGCCCGAACCGCTTACCTGGGCCACCCCTCGCCGTGACAGCGCAGCCAAAGCACAGCGATGGGGAGACAGAGACGTGAATCACGGCAGGGCCCCACCCAAGCAACGGGGGGGGGGGGGAGGAAGCGAGGAATGGGCAGGGTGGGAGGGGCCGAGAGCAGAAATGGGGGGGCATCCAGAGGGGTCAAACATCACCACAGCAGCTCATAAGCCCCTTTGCACCCCCAGATCCCACTTAGAGCTGCGCCCACACCTCCCTCCCCCCCCGTGCCTTGCCTTTGGGTGCTGCCCCTCCTGGTGTTGGGAGACTGGAGCCCCAAGGGGGGGGGGGGTGGGGGGGGGCTTCTGCCAGTCTAACTGGGTACCACCAGTATAAACTGGGGGGGACACACTGGGATCCCACACACAGACCGTATGGGGGGGTCCCAATGCATGGCGGGGGGGAGCGTCTTTGGTTGAAGCCTGGTCCAGAAACCACCGGACACCCTGCTTGTCCCCTACGGGTGGGGGGTGTCCCCACAGCCTCCCCCTTTATAGGCGAAGGGGAGAGCGGAGGGGGGCACCCACCTGCCGGGGGGGGGCGTGTTCCCGGCCCTCGCTGGGGGAGCGGGACCAGCGGCGGTCGCGCGAGCGGGGCCGCCCGTAGTCGTGGCGCTCGGTGGGGGGCCCCCGCTCCTTGTCTCCAGCGCCGTGGTGGTGGTGGTGGTGGTGGTGGTGGTGGTGGCGGTGCTTGCGGTCCTTGGCGCGGCCCCTCTCCGGGTCTCGCTCCTTGGGAGGGAGCTCCCCCGACTGCGTTGTGATGCTCAGGTCGGTGCCCAGCCCTGCAGGGACGCAGCGGAGGGTGATGGATGGAGGGGGCCTAGGGGTGTGGGGTGCAGGACATGGGGTGGCTCAGGGGCCGTGGGGTGCAGGAGGAGATGGGGTGGCCCCGGGGAGATGGCCCCACGGTGGGAGCGGGTGGCCTGGGGGTCCCGTCCCACCTGTGTCCATGTCTGTGTAGCGGCTGAGAGAGCGCTCAGAGGTGCGGTGGCTCCGCTCCCGCCGGCGCTGGTGGTGCCGCTGCCCGTCCTCGGGAATGACGCGCTCCAGGGAGTAGTCATCCAGGCGGATGCCGCGGCCGCGTGGGTGGCCCAGCGTGGAGGCCGAGCGCTTCATGGGGCTGGCGTCGGAGATGGTCTGTGGGGACAGCACCAGGGGCTCACGGGGAGAGATACCTGTGAGCGTTGCCTCTGTCCATTCATTCATCATCCATCCATCCATCCATCCATCCATCCATCCATCATCCATCCATCCATCCATCCATCATCCATCCATACAGCATCCATCCATCCATCCAGCATCCATCCAGCATCCATCATCCATCCATCCATCCATCCATCCATCCATCCATCCAGCCAGCCAGCATCCATCCATCCATCCAGCATCCATCCAGCATCCATCCATCCAGCATCCATCCATCATCCATCCATCCATCCATCCATCCATCCATCCATCCATCCATCCAGCATCCATCCATCCATCCAGCATCCATCCAGCATCCATCCATCCAGCATCCATCCATCATCCATCCATCCATCCATCCATCCATCCATCCATCCATCCATCAGCCAGCCAGCCAGCCAGCCAGCCAGCCAGCCAGCCAGCCAGCATCCATCCATCATCCATCCATCCATCCATCCATCCATCCATCCATCCATCCATCCAGCATCCATCCATCCATCCATCCATCTATCCATCCATCCATCCATCCATCCAATCATCCTTCCCTCCCTTCCATCCTGCTCCAATGCTCAGGTGCCCCCCACCAGCTCCATCCCTGCTCCCCCTTTCCATGGATCCAGGCTCTGCTCCCATGGCAGGTCCGGTGTCCCCTCCCCTCATGCGAGGCTATCCCCAAGCCCCCCTTGGTGAGGTGAGCTGGGAGGGAGCTGGGAGGGACACGGACATGCTCCAGTGCCACATCCCAGCCCCCCCTGAGACAGATTCCCCCCCCCCTCCCCCGCTGCTCTATCCATTGAGCTGCTGCTGCCAGGGGCCCGAGTGTCACCAGGGGGGATATGGGGACAGGGATATGAGGATAGGGGGATGCTGCTCCTCACTGGCCACACTGCTGCTGGGACATGGGGCAGTGAGGGCCCGGGTGGCTGAGGTGTCCCAAGGGATGGGACAAAGGGGAGGGACG